CCATTGCAGTACCTGAGAAGATGGGTCAAGCACAACTCTCGTTGCCTGAACAGCTGAGTCTGCAAAGGCCATCTCATAAAACCTTCGCCAGCTTCAGTCGTCGGGCCCTGTTCTAAGCCAAGTGGTCGGGATTGTTGTGCTTGCTCACTATAGTCATATGGCATAGTCAATCGCAGGAAGACTGACAAAAATTCTTTACCTATCAGCCGGCAGAACGCAGGGTTCCCTGTTGAGGCCAGCGTCCTTCAAGACTTCAGTCACACCTCCTTTTGGTGCGTTCAGGATCCCCGCAGCTTCAATCATCTACTGCTGACAGCAGTTTGGGCATGAGATCCTGCTTGAAAACAACTTATGCTTGGCATGCTGCATGATGCGGTCAAGAAGGCTGTGACAGAGAGGTTGGCAGAGACACCCTTCAAGATGAAACTGTCTTGAGCAAGTGGGCAGGTTCTGAATTATGTTGGGATGCGACACGCCCTGCAAGCATCTCAAAGCAACCGAGTGTTGCGGTGTGATCGCAATTTCATCAAACGACCCCGGGGATGTGCTTGTCCCGAATGTTTCTGCTTGTCTGAGCAGCTCGACAACCACTCTGGTGCCGTGTCTATGACTGGAGCGCTGAACGGTAGTCAACAAAACAAAGTGGGAACTTGCTGCAGCCAGGAGGCCCCAGCGCAACATTCAGGACCTGCATGTTTGCTAAGTCCTGGAGAGATTGTGTTCAAGCTCCTGCTGCACAACCGACCAGCTCCTACTAGCCACTTGAAGTCCTGAAACCTGCAGCAGGCATTTGCAAAGACTGGAGCATGAGTCGCAACCATGGCCATGCTGCTTGCGTTCAGCGTCGCGACCCTGGCTTGAGCTCTGGCGGCTGCGGCTCGGCGGATGCTAACCAGCCCTGTGCAGCCACGACACCAGCACCAAACTGAAGAGGCGAACAGGCACACTTCCAAGGACAAGAAAGTCTCTTCATCCGAAGCCTCGAACATCGGCTCTTGTCTTGCCATCCGGCACATGCAACAAACTGCAACAGAACCCTCAGGACCCCTACCTCAGCCCTACACCTTACTCGACGAGGCAGCACGCGGGCCCTCGCTAAGATGCGCCAAGGCTAGCAGATTCCGACTCGCATCCCTTGACTTTCTGCTGTGCGAGACTTGTTTGGACCTGTACAGAAGGGCGCTGCCGTTGAGCAAGCCGCCAGAGGGAAACTCTGCCGAAGGCGAAGTTGCGGCGAGCCCTGCAATCACTAAGAAGGAGACTTAGGCATACGGGGTACTAGCTAGGGCGGAGCAGCGCAATGGCCGACAAACAGCTAAACAGTGCAGCAACCTCAGCAGCAACCTCGGGCTCATAAACAGAAAAGCAGGTTGTCGGCCCCTTGTCGACTTCCTGCAAGGCAAAATAAGCCGCGTGAGTCTGCGGCGTAGCATTGGCCGAACTCAGGTTCGGCCCATTATGGGGCTCTGAAGCCCCGGCTTGCCCAGAAACTCCAGGAATTGGGATGACCGTGGATGCCCAACTGACATCCGGCATCCATGCGTTCTGCCTTGCTAGAACTCGCCCGGAAGGATTGCTCCCGAGCGAATAAACAAGGCGTCTACTCAAACCTCCCATCCCCCTTGGACGGCCGAGGCCGAGGCTGGGGTTGTCTACAAATGTCCCTTGCCGTGGCATTTCCTGCAGTCTTTGCAGAAGAAGCACTTCTCATCGCGAGCCTGCGACGGCACACCGAAGCCTGGGCCTGGGCCTTGGCTCCCTTTACGTTCCGACCCACAAATCAGCTCCTCTCCTAAGTCCTAGCAATCCCAGCCACCAAGGCTCAAAGATTCCAGCAGCGTCCTAGTAGCACTCGACTCTACGACTCCTGTAATGAAGATAGCTCCGGCAATCTGCAGTCACATACCAATAGCCGCCCAAATTGATCGATGAACTTTTGCGCAGCAGCGTACACGAGAAGCCAAGACTTCTTTCAGTTGTTAACCATTGCGACAGTGAGTATTGACATGTAGCTCATGCAACTACGTATCTGCTCGAGACTTATCCCTGTGAACCCTGTGCGAGACGACAAGATTATGAGAGGACCCAACTATCCGACGGCTATCGGCCTTGTCATGGTTCATCGAAGATTCGTGGACAAAGCCATGCCCATGGCAGTACGTGCCTGGGATTCAGCTTCTGGAACCACACAGCGTGCCTTTCAGATACCGTCCAAGCATTGGATCGTGCCGAAAGTCGCACCAACGGAAAGTCTAAAGGTCTTCGAGCGTCAGGATTATGTATCAAACGGCATAGCGGCAGGACATTATCTCATCAGGTACTGATGCTTGCCAAGCGACACATCTGACCGTGCTTAGACCATGGTGTAGCAGCTTCGATGTGGCCCCTCCCTTTGCAGCCGGAGCAGTCCTCACGACGGCAAGCGCTGCATGTCCCCGTGCGGAGTGCAAACCCAGGTTGAAGTTCGGATCTGGTCCACTGGTGGGCTAAGGCTAAGCTACTGTGCAGATGGGTTCTCACAGGTGGATCGGAGAGGGTGTCGAGACAGCAGCCCGTCCTTGCAGAAGAAGCATCGACTGTTTGGTCCGGCATCGTGATTCATGCCTGGAATCTGGGGAAGGCGTATCTGCATAGCTCTTTCCTGAATACCGTGATTTTTTGATTGAGAACTGCTGAAAAGTCCCTTTTTGCCAAGACACTTGAGTCGTGGAAAAAGCCTTTTCCCTCGCACTTGAAGCACTCTTGTCGCCCTCCAAAGCCCAACGTGTCCATGAAGCCTCCGCCGTGGCCTTGGATGGTGAACTTGGTGAACCAGCATTGGGCTATGGGCCTGGTGAACAACCAGAAAAGGCAGCTAATTGCAAGAGGGGCCGTGGTGATGGTGATGGTGATGAGATCCATGGTGATGACGTGGACTCGCATACATTCCCCTTCCTCTGCAGGAATCGCAATCCTCACAGAAGAAGCACCGCTTGTCTGGACGCTCATTATGGTTCATACTTGAATCGTGGCGGAAGCCGCGCCCCTCGCACTTGTAACAGTACTCGTGGTGTGAAGAATGACTGGAACCATGCATCATCGCCGCTCCCGCGACGCCGGCCAAAACGCCGGCCACTGCCCCGGCCCCCAATAGCCCGGCTCCGAATCCACCTCCACTGGTACCTCCACTCGCTGGAGCTGCACTTGCCGCCTGCACAGGATATGCTGGCTGTGGATATGGCTGCGGAGTTGCCGGTGCGGCATACGGCGAAGCCACAGCCACGCCCGTCACGACCGGTGCGACTGGCACTGCGATGGGTGTCGCCACCGGTGTTGCCACTGGTGCTGATGGCTGGAACGCCTGTTGCGCTTGCATTGTGACAGGAGCACCATGTGCTGTCACAGCGGCCGTGCCAGGTACTGGCTGGGCCATCACTGGCTGGGCCATCACTGGCTGCACCACTCCTTGTGCAACGACAGGTTGGCCCAAGGGAGCAGGCGCCAGGAACGCGCTCAGAGCGGGAACCTGTGCCAGGCTCTGAATCTGGCCGGCAAGATACGCGAGATAGCTTGCAAGTCCACGTTGCCTTTCCTCGTTGAAATTCCCGAGATTTAACATCTTACGAATACCCACTGTGCCCTTAGGTGGCAGCGGGAGACGCTGCAGAGGTACACTGGCCAAGAGGGCATCCAACTCAAGAAACTGGCTGTAGCGTTTCTTGCAGAGCCATTCTCGTAAGTCCTCAATGACCCGGATGCTGTACCTGAGATCAGCTGATGCGTGCTACTAGAAGCTCACACTATCTTCGTGACGATCAGCTATAAGGCTACCAGGCCCTTGCCAAGCCTTTCTGTCAGCGGAAAGTCGGTCCGTGAGTGTGGCGCAGAAAATCGCTCCTGTGCGTCCAGGAAACCATGTTGTCCCGTCGAACTCGGAGCTGTCCAGGATGCTAATCTGCACCACCATGGCCTCGAGCAAATCACTTACATACACTGATGAGGCGCGCTGCCAATCTCAGGCTTCAAAGGCAAGCGCTGCCTCTACAATGTGGAATGCATCAGAGACCTCGCAACTCAAAAAGCATTTCATGGAAAGTTGGGACCTTGGATTGGCCCAGAGTTTTGGCACAGCCGCTCGGAAGGCTGGATGCCTGTGCTAGTCGATAACTTGAGCCGAACAATCGTCGGGAAGCGATGGGAACGATGCTTTGTAACGACTGCCTTAGATCACGCGAATAGGTGATCGAAGCCCGTCCGGTTGAAGCGACAGTCACCAGCAACGAGCACCCTCGAGCAGCGAGCCTCTCGATACATGCAGCACAAACCATTCTCATATAGTAACCTGATGCGACGATTCTATTTGACCTAGTCGCTGACTTTGTCCACCATGTTCTATACGGTCTCTGCTGCAGACTCCCCTTTTCAAGCCTCTCCCGCTCTACCAGTGTGGGCATGCCATGAGACAAGGAGGCTCAAGAGCTGCTTGGGCCAAAAGCAAGACAAGCGACATGACATTGCATATAGCACCTTCAGCGATTCGCGGCTTATCGGGCCTGCCGGGGCGCCTCCTGGGGTCTGGCCTTGGCCTGGCAAAAAGCCTTCGAAGCTCGAAGTTCGGAGTTCGATACACTGGGCATGGGCGCTTTTTGTTGCACTCGAAAGCGCAACGACCTTCCGGAGCTATCTGTCCCCGCATGCCTTCGACAGAGCAGGAACAGCTGGGTGAACCATGGAGCCCGGGGACGCGACAAGCATTACCGTTTTGCATGCGGTTGCCCATGAGAAGCAGCATGATTTCGTCTGCAGCTCCTGCTTCCCCATCGAGGTTTGGCTCTCTGAGGCTGGGGTTCTCTTGGCTAAAGACAAACAATCATTTCGACACCAGGATTTGCAAACACTCATATGGTTTTGTCAGCACAGCGGCTAGGTCGGCTCGATCTGACCGCTCGCGTGACCGTCGTGACGCTGTCGGATTCGGATCTCGAATTTGGACTGCATACCTTGGTGTGCAACCTGCCGGCTCAGCGTCTGTGGCCCGAAGATTTCCGCGAGTGTGCACCTGGAAAATCTTGCTCCTCCCTTCGTCCCTTCTTATGGCACTTGGGCAAAAGTGCGAGGTTGGGTCGCTAAGTGCACTTACACTTCCTGCCAGTGTTACGGCAAGCTGTCGGCTACAACTAGAATCAGATTATCTGTTAAAGTCGCTTCTCTTTCTGAGTCTTGCTATCCATTGATGTCACTATCGCTGCTCATTATGGCATGGCTTTTGGCTCCTTGCCCCCATCATCCTCATCAACCATCATCAGCACGTAACAAATTTGCTTTCTGCACCGCTTGTACATGGCGCTGTTCTCATGGGCGTTTCTCTTCATTAATAATGCTTTTCACATATGGTGATGCTGGTCATGATGCGATGGGGGTTGGCATCTCAGCAGCATCTGCTCTTTTTCCTCGAGCCTGCAAGTCGTTCGACAGGCGGGCCGCGGAATCTCATCCCTGCGCCAAAGCCTTTTGATTGCAGTTGATTCAATAGCTTGGTGGAATCCAGCTTCCGACACTGGAGCCTCGATCTAACCGGTCCATTCAAGGAGTTGGAACTATTCTGCCACCGATATCTGATGACTGTTGCCCTTGGCGCAGGCAGCCAAAACAGAACTGAACAGCAGCTGAGGCTATGAATCTTCCGCGCATGCCAAAGCCGGCCCCAGCCCAAACTGCACATTGTTGCCGGAAGGCGTGCATGTCCCCGACCCGCAAAGATGGAAGGGCTCCATCAGCGGGTTACATGTCATGCTATGCCTTCTCGTCCATCAAGCCCTTTGGATAGTATTTCGGCCAGAAAACTGCCGGAAAGCGGCATGTCTCAGTGCCCGGCCTGTATCACCAGCCACCAGGCACACGCTGGCACGGTTGTCACAGAAACAACTCGATGCGACGGGCCGCATGGAATCCTCTCACAAGAAGAGGAGTGCGCTATCAGTCCTCGGGCTTACCATCTGGATAATGCAAGCAAACAACTCATACTTCACAAATGCAACCATCACTGCCTAATCCACTTACCAGCCCAGGGTTCGTGAGGCCTATGAGCTGCGATGGACACGGCAAGCAAGGGATGGCGGCAGCGCGGCATGAAAATTCAGGATTAGGTTGAGCTGCTGATCTGCTCTCGACCATTCGTTCTTTTCCTTACCCTAGTCCGCCTGCACCTGGACATGCAAAGAGGCCTCAAAGTTGAGGAAGTTGCATCTCGCAAGTATTTCTGAGGGTCGGTGATGCGCGGACGTGACAGTATTACGCGCCTAACAGCGAGTGCAATGGCATCTTCGCAGAGCAGCTCAGCTTCAATGCAGGAAGGGTGCCGCTGCAGGTGCAGCCTGGTGGTCCCCAAAGCCGTCAAAAGGCAACACAATGCCGTATGCTTCTCGGTGTTGTCAGAACATTTCGTAGGTCCAGGCTATCAAGGTGTGTTACAAGTCGAAGCGCAACTTCACTTTCGACATTGCGTTGACCTGGGGCCCAGAGTCAAAGATTTGAGGCCAACACCTGCAGCATTCATGCTCTTCGTAGTGCATGGTTGACCTCCCTGCCTCTGCATGGATCAGCTGGCTCTCCGGTCTGCTAGATGTGTCAATGCAGGATCCAGCGGAACTGATGTAACAATGTAATCCTTCGATATGACCGACGATAGAGTCATGCGCAGAGAAGTGTTCGCATTGGATCCTGATTAAAGGCACCGGAGCACAAAAGTAGGCCTTTATAGTACCATCAAACACTCCTTGGTCCAAGCTCTACAAGGCACGGGCAAAGGTGGCTCCGGATCTCACGGCTCGGACAGCATCCCAAAGGGGCTAAGCTGGCCATGGGGTGCAAGCAAATGTGTTTTGTGTCGTGGATCAGGGTAACTGAGCCAGCGGGCGCAAAAAAAAGCTACATAGTCATAGTCACTTCCCGAGTCACTTCCTAGTAGCCACAAGTCTCAAACTTCGGCGGTCCGCCGACGTTCGGCAACAAACCAGAGAGCGCCTCGGACATCATGGCTCTGGCACAAAGAGGCACGGGTGACAGGAACCCTGAACAACAACATCGGCAATGACTATGAGCCTGCGACAGGTGGTATCCAGAGGGCGTGTGCATGTTTGCATACATGGTGGGGTCAAGCAATGCAGATTTCCATAGCTGCATATGCACACCGACGCAACAACAACATCGGATCGGAGTTTCAAATCTATTCCCCCCCGAAGCTGCTATGAAAGACCGATAGATGCACATTGAGACATAGCAGCCTCCTGTTTGGACGGAAATCAAAGCTGAGACAAGGCTCTTTTGTGGACAAATGCATCCTCTGCGCATCAGCTACCTGGGCAAGTCTTGCAATAAACGTGCAGCCACAAACATGGCCCCAGCAGCAACGAAAGACTTGTGGGTTCTGATGCAATCCTAAAGCCCCTGTTCAAAATTTTCGAAGCGAGATGCCCGCCGCATTTGGAGCAATGAAACTCGCCCCGTGCGGATCACCTGACAAGTGCACTTTGACGATTGGACCTGGTGAGCAAGAAAGGAAGATGTGAGCGCAATTCACTTGCCGGTGCCTGCTCTTGCTCAGCGCTTAGATTCTTGATCTTCGCCACGCCTGCACATTGCTTGACACCCTCGAGATCTGAAACTGAATGCAGCACATATTGATGCAAAGGCTCTATTTTCAGGAAAAGCTGGAAATATCCTGTAAGTTGCGACATCAACCCCGGTGCCTGGGAACATCCTGAGTACCAGCCTCTGCCGAAGGGAACAATACCTCAGCCGGATACCGTACGTCATGGACTGTCGAGGAGGGGAGATTGCATCTAGTTGTGCATCATTCGAAGCGTCCTGAGCGCCCCTTCTACGAAGCATATCTACGAGGCAACGCCGCATCAATGCAAGCAGTGCCAAGCCAAAGTGGACCAAGCAAAGGGTGGATGCTCGTCCAAGCTACCGCAGGAGTGCCTCGATGCAGTTGTTAAAGGCATCCTCAAGAGCAGCAATCCCCTCCACCTCAGCTGATGAGTCACAGGGCCTGAAGCCTTGAAGGGCTCAGTTTCCCAATATGCATCGAAAGCCACTGATTCGTGCCTCCACTCGCGGAGACAGTAGGCTCGCACCTTGGTTCCGCACAGCATAAACTGCAGTTCTGTGGCCCACAGCGGCCCATTGGATTTCTTATCTGCTTGAGTGCAGGGCTTACATCCGGGCTTGCTTGGTGAAGTTTTGTAGTGCGTTGCAAGGTGCTGACTGCTCGTTTTCCAGGCTGTCGAGGAAGTCGCGATGGTTTGCCGGCATGCACACCTGCCAAGGAGAGGCGGGTTTGCCTACTCACGAACAGCACGGGACAAACTGCATAACTCGCGTCATTTCTGATATTAGCAGTCTTATCTAACAAATCATGCCAGATAGGAGCAGGACAGTGTACAACACTTCGACCTTCTGCCGATCAAGCCGTGTCGTGCGCTGGCATGCTTGGAAAGCCCGATTCGTGCTGAACATATGACTGATATGATGTGGTTCGTTTGCCAAGTTGCTCGCCCCTGCTGCTGCCAATGTTCCTGCAGTGGGCCCGAGATTCCATCCAGCTTACCTGCGGTGGAGGTCGACTAAGCACTGCCATGGATACTACAACCACCTGCAGTCTCCGCCGTACAGTGCAAATAAAATCCCGCACCACTCAACTTCCAACGGGTTTCGCACTTGTAAGGCCAGTGTTATTTGCAGCCTTGCAGAGGGCTTTCGGTGATGAGGGGCGGCCGGTTCATCATCACAAGCTGACTCAATGATCAAATTGATGTTGCTTGGCACTGAAGCCAAGCCACGCAGCCCAAGAATCGCGTGTAGGGCAGGTAGCAAGGGCGAAGATCCTTCCGTATAAATCCATACCTCAGGAGATTAAGAGAGCGGAGCCATGCCTCCCGAAGTCATCAGAACTAACATCTGGCTGGGCGACTGCAAATTCTGTGTCGGCCAAATTCGGGCTGACGAAAGGCCGCAATCGCTGCCTGAGGTCAAAAGGCCACCCCCATCAACAGACAGAGTGGCAAGCGGCCTTGTCCGCTGTGTGTTGTGAATCTGCTTCTCAGCATGCCACATCATGCCAGCAAAGCTTCTCAGCACTTCATGTCAATGTATGCAACGGACGTCAGGTCTCTAACCTGTGGTTCTGAATTTTGGTATGCATGCAGGGAGTAAGTACCGTGCAAGAAACCCGCATAGTTGCTGTTTCTGATTGTGGCCCAAGCTGCATCATGATAGCTTCTCCGCGCGAGTCTTTGTTGTCAAATTGATTCCGCTGAAACTCCTGGAGAAAGATTTCTCAGATGGATGCACGACGGCTACCTCTCGCGACCCAGTATCGCAACTGGACCCAAACTGCCCTCAATGACGGCATGTAAGTGTGACGATGTGCATCCAACCGGATGGTCTGACATTGTCTCTGTGACCACGTGAAACTTTCATGCTCGCGATGCCTGCAAAGACAAACGATCAAGAACAGTCACTGCACAACAAAATCCGCAAAATTTCATCGAGCATCACTCAGACAGTCGATGTCACTCGCCAGCTGGCAGAGCGAACCAACAATCTCACCTGGGCTGCGATGCGTTGAGCCTCGAGCCTTCTCGCTGAGCTGATCTCGAACGTCTTCGGATGTGATTTGTTCGGGGCTAATGAAGCACTCTATGTCATGGTGGCACGGACTTTCTCATGCGCAGCCTCGGGCACATATCACAATGTTTGATGAATATGACATAGAAGTCGGCATTTCCCAACCACGATTTCTTCGCTTCGGGTTGACCCTGCAAGCATGTACGGTTATCGGGGAGATGCTCTTCTCAGGCTCTGCCAGAGTGCGGCCCGACTCTGGTATGCACTCGTAAAGTTGCATTCGCTAGACGGCGATGACTGCAAAGCAATGAGCTGTGTCTTAGCGGAGCCTGTGGACCCTATGACACCCTGCAAAGTCTGGCCGGCGGCCCACATGCCGCGCGACTTGATGCAAGTCCCTTCCAGTCACTTACTGAAGCGTCCTCGGGG